ACCCCTTCTCCCCAGGAAGAATGCCTCCTACTGGGTGAAGAGAAGCCCACAGGTCTAGAACAATCTACGGTTAATGAGAGATGCCATGTTGGCCTGACCCTGCTACCAGGAGCCCTAACTGAGGAGACGGCTTCTACCTCTTGCCCGCCTCCACTTCACTCTCTCCTCCACTGGCCCCCGCCCCGCCCCCAACCTCATGTCTTCTTGCCTCCTGCTGCTGCCTCAGCTGCTGCTCGTCTGCAAGAAGCCTCTGCTGGGAAACCTCCTGGATGACCACAGGCCTCAGGCACTTCTCTCCCCTTTGTCTCTCCAGTTCAGCCCAGCCCATCCATCCCAGTCCTGAGGGCTTGATCCCAGTGCAGCCTTGGCAAGGGCTGGCCCCCTAGGCTCACTGCCTTGGAGCCCTGGCCCTGCCACTTCCCAGCCAGTTCTCTGTGCCACTGGAACCTATTCTCTTACCACAGGCGCTTTCACGTGCTGGTGTCAGGGCTCCACAAAGGCACGTCCCAGCACAGCCGCATTCACGCTTGGCACCCAGCCCACACAGGTCCCCAGCTGTCTTATCCCCTCCTGTCTTTCCTCCTTCTTCCCTCAGTGATCTCTACCATTCAAAGCCTGATTGTCCCGAAGCCATTCCTTTCTGCCAATTCACAGTGTGGCCCAAGAGCTCGCACTTTTCCAGTCAGTCTATTTGAAGTGTGGGTGTAAGGCCTTCGCCCTCTTTACGGATCCACAGTTCCAAGTTCTGCCCCGTGCAGAGCAGCCCGCTGGGGATTCTGGAGTCCCTCTTCCGGTGAGCATGGAGGAGGAGGCTGAGTGGCTGCGTACACTGAGCTCCGAGTCCCCGTGCCCCTGTCATTTATGGAGGGCGGCTGGAGGAGAGCGAACGTGGCTTGTGCCGGGCACTCTGGATGGAACAGTCCTCTGTCCCAGAGCATGGAGACTAGACTCCCAGGGAGGCCTTCAGGCCTTTGAGGGGCTTTGCTTTCCCACCTGAAGTTTATGGACACACAGCACCTTTCCCGTTCAAGGAGGGAAGAAGGCAGCCAGCACTGAATCCGAGTCTTAGAGCTGGAAGGCACCCTTGCACTCTGCTTACCTCCAACCCAAACCTCATCATTCTCCTCCTTGTTAATCAACGAAGAGGTGTGTTCTCTGCCGTCTCAGTCTTTTCAGCTTCATCCTCCAGTATGAAATGTTAGTATTTTATTAACCTCTGCTCCCAAGTCTCACAGCTGGCCCCTAACCTTTGCTGAGGCCCTGCAGTAACACCTAGTGCCTGTGGAGCATTGGGCTGCCCACTTGTTCACTGATCCACTGATTCATTCATCAAGGCTGGATCAGGAACTCACTGCGTGTGCTGAGTTCCAAGCCTGACGCATAGTGAGGACATGGCAAATGTCAGTGTGACGGTTAATTTAATGTGTCAACTTGACTGGGCCTCAGGCTGCCCAGACATTTGGTCAAACATTATCCTGGGTGTGTCGTTGAGGGTGTCTCTGGGTGAGATGAACATTTTAGTTGGTAGACTGAGTAAGGCAGATGGCCCTCCCCAACATGGGTGGGCCTCATCCAATCAGTTGAAGGCTTGAATAGAACAAAGCGGCAGAGCAAGGGGGAACTCCTACTGCATGATGCTCAGCTGGGACATGTGGTCTTTTCTGGTCCTCACATAGAGACTGAGAAATTGGCTCATGGTGAGTCTTGAGCCTGCTGGCTTTCTGACCAGAACACCACCATCACCTCTGCTGGTTCTCAGTCCTTGGACTTGGAGGAGCCACAGCACAGCCCTCCTGGGTCCTCAGCTTGCTGCCTGCAGATCTGGGCACTGGTCAGCCTCCAAAATCACGTGAGCCACTCCTTACAGTGAACCTCTTCATATATATCCTCTCCTCTCGGTTCTGGTCTCTGGAGAACCCTGACTAACACAATCAGCGTTATCAGGACTATGACCATCTCCATCCTACGCAGCCAACACCCACGTGGAGCTTAGAGTGTCAGGCACTGTGAGTTCATTAATTCAGTCACTCACTAAATGCCCACTACGTGCTCAAGAGAAACAATGCAGGCCCTGCCACAGAGGAGTACAAGACGCAGGAGTCCGCTGTGCCAGTGATGGCTGGCTGTCAACGTGAGGCTATCAACAGACTATGCAGTTCTCCATTACAATAGAAATCAGCAAAATAAAACTCACTTATTATTCATTTATTATGTCCATGCCTTTTTTACATGTGTTTTTCAAACAAACCTGTCGCCATGGTAACCCTCTTAAAACAAGATCCGACCTGGTTTAAAGAACCTGAGAGCTAATTACAATAGTGCTTTATATTTAGTTATGCCTTTCTTCTGAGGAGTTTAATGGGCCTGGCTCATTAAGCTTCACAAACACCCTCTGAAGTCTTTAGGGGACAGATACTATTAAACCCATTTTACAGACATAGACACCAAGGCACTGATGGGTTAAGTGACGTGGCCGCTGACTGGCAGCTTAGCCACAAGCAAGTCTGGGCCAGACCCAGGTCTCCGCTTGTTTCCTTCTGTTGTCCCTACTCATCAGACTCCATCCTGGGTTTTGAAAGCCTGGCATCATTAAAGGTTCAGAGTTTCCCACAATGTGGTCTGGGGATCCCAGGTTCTGCTGCTGCCCATGTGCAGAAAGGGCTGCTGGGCCAGGAGGCTGCAGGGGCAAGGGTGGGAAGAGATGAGGTGGGTCCGAGGAGGTCCGGAGGATGGGAGAGCGTATTCTGCTGGCTTCTCTCGGCACAGACTCTCAGCCTGCAGAGCCAACATCGACGGGCCCTGGCAGTCCACACACTTGGCCTGACGTTCTCAGGGGCTGTGTAGCCAGATGGGCACACAGCTGACACCAAGTGGCTCCTGCTTCTATCATAAGAGAGTCTGATACACGCTGGCCACAGTAGCCAACAGGCTCTTCCTTGAACATCCAGGCAAAACCCTGCCCGAGGGCCTCCACTCTAGCTCAGTGGTTCCTAAAGCGGGTCCCAGATCAGCAGCAGCAGCTGTGATGTTAGACACACAAAGTTTCTGGTCCCACCTCAGACCCACTGAATCAGAAACTCTGTTTTACAAGTCTTCTGGGGGCTTCTCCACTATCTCTGCCTAGGCTGTTCCCTCCCCTAGATATCTTGGCCAACTTCCTTTCCCTCCTTTGAGCCTTTTCTCAGACCTCACCTTCTCTACAAGGCCCATCCTGACACAGCCTGGTGAATTCAGTAACGGGGCCAATGGGCCCTCCCGGCCCTCCTGGCTCCCGCCTGCCCAGCCCTCACAGATTCATCGCCTTCCTGACGCTTGTTGGAGATTGTCTGCCTCCCCGCATGAAAACGTAAGCTCCAGGGAGCAGGCCCTTTGCTTAGTCACCTGCACAGAGTGAGCCATAAATACTGATATGGACCATGATGTCTGACTCCGGTTACTGGATGAACAACAGGGGGAAGGAACAAGCATTGGAGGGCGGGGGACAGGGTCGATGAGCTCTGTTTGAAGCATGGTGAACTGGAGGTGCCAGCGGGCCTCACAGATGCAAGGCGCAGAGGCTGTTTGGTGGGTGGCTCCGGAATACCAAGGGGAGGTGATCCTGTGCGAGGAGGAGGAAGGAAAGGTTTACAGAAGGAATCCTGGAGCACGTCAATACCTGTGGGGGTGGGTGAGGATAAGGAGCCGGCAGTGAGACAAGGAGGCCAAGGGCTAGACAGTGTCAAACGTTACAAAGGTGGAGAGGAGCCTGGTCTTAGATCTGGCAAAACTGGGAGATGAGCTTCTCTCCTGAGTGCTACAGTATCGGAGTGGAGGGCGGGAAGGTGGGCTCCAGCAGGGAAGGAGGGACTGGGCGGTGTGGGGGAGAGATGGAGATAGGGCGCGGGGCCACAAGGAGGAGCCAATCAACTTGCTCTTGAGAAACCTGGGAGGCAGAACTAGCAGGGGTCGTGGGAGGAGAGGCGAGGGGGGAATGGAGGTTTCAACTCCCCAAATTTTAACTCACCATTGAGCATCTAAAACGGGAGAGAAGGCCTCCTACGAACTGGGAGTGTGAGCAGAAACTGGACTCTAAGTTCAAAGGGATATGACAGGGGATGTCCAATCAGCCAGGTGTTTGGGCCAGCTGGACTTGAGATCCCTTTAAGTCCCGAGAGCCGAGGACTCATGACTCTATCTTGAACCTGAAAGAAACCAAGGCTACTAGAAAAACACAGTTGGCCTCCCTCCCACCAACAGGAAAGCGTGTGGCCCTACATCTTTGAAGTTCCATCTGGGCTGACAAAACAGTCACAGAGTCTGGAACTCACCATCGTCAGAGAATAACAATTTCCTCCTCAATTAAACCTTGTGTATGGGACTCTCACTGAACAGGAAGACCCGGAAGCCAACGAGTGGTTCCCACCCGCTACAGTACTGCCGGGCAGTGGGACGCCACACAAACACCCGTGAGTGTGTCCCTCCCAAAACTGGGCCCTAGCCCGTCATAGCTTTAAGGGCAAGGATGGAACATTTTCTAACAAATTCCATTCACCCAGATGTGCTCATGATGAGGTTACATATTTTGAGTAGGGGCAGCACCCTAATTCCCAAAATAACTTGTTCAAATATAACTCAGACTGTTTTATTACACTAATTAATTTTGGAAAATTCACGTGTGGATAAAAAATGAATCTCAAGAATAAAAATTATTAGGACTGGAATTCTCCCTACATATTCAAAAAGATGTGTAGCATCCTAAATGAAGCTACTATATATGCCTAAACAGAAGGAAACCAAATATTAGGCAATTCCGTATTTTCCCAAGGAGGAGAAAAACAATTTATGCCAATTTGGATATATAAACTTTTTAGGGGTGTTGAAAGAATCAAGAATCCACTTATAGTACTTATTTTTATATATGCTTTAAAAATCTCTATTCTAATGCATTGCTGTTCACTTTCCAAGTTTTGAGTTACTCCACTCAGTTACTCCAGGATACAATGTACTCATTTAATTTGGACTTTTTTTGAACTAAAATACATTACTTTTAGTATTCTCAGATGCAAAAGAGAGATGAATCTTCTGCTGGATTTGAAACACGGAGACTGATTTTTTACAAAAAGTAAAATGAAGTTCTGTTAAGTGCCATCATCTATATTTGCTTAAAAATAACGACAGCAAAAACTCCAGGATTTTCTTTCAACTTCATGCTTACACAGGTAATGTGAGGTTTGAAAATCATTTCAAAATTAAAATCAATCAAATAAAATACCCAGATTTAATGCACTGAAAGTTGACCTAAGAACCATAAAATCTTTTAAATTTCCTTCTAAAACCACTACAACTGTTCTTCTACAAAATCTATTTTGCATTTAATTTACGCTCAAGATAGAGCTTTGGAAAAAAGAGCAAAATGGTCATCTTGTGTCTTCAATCAAAAATAAAATTCTCACGGAGGCTCCAGCAAAGCGTCTCTCTACACAATTCGTCACCACTACAAGGAAGAGCACCAATTACACATTTGGAGGACCAATTTCAGTGGGCTCTGCCAACATGCCCCCGGAGTGCAAGAGTACAATCCATCTGTTAGGGAAGGCAGTGATTTTCAGCTTGGAATGGATCCATCAAGAGGGAGTCGTGAAATCAATTTTATGGGTGTGAACCTATTTTGGGGGGAGGGGAGAGCAAAGAAAGAAACTGGAATATGATAGAACAGAAAAATACCAGTATGCTCTCCACGCTGCCAGGTATGGCTCGTAACACTTTTGAGACACATGTGTTCTGGGTCACAACATCCAATGGATTTCTTACTGTGGCACAAAGTAAAAAACATATGAAACATTGAGGTAGAATTGTGGAAGCTCGGAGAGGCAATAAAACCAGAGGAAAAGTCAAAGCAGAACCCAGGCTCCTCAACCTGACGTCCTGTGTTTCATCACTCTGCACAAGCAATTGGTGGTCTCCAAAGATGATGGAGGGTGGAGAGGTCTGAGGGAGAAAAGGAGCAGGATGGACGGTGACCGGAATTAGGGGATTCAAGCAGAACAAAGGCTCTGAATCAAGGGTGAGCTCAGTGTGTAAGTGTGGAAGTCCAAGACAAGGTTGGGGGGAGAAGCCCACCTTGTCTCTCACTTCAGTGAGAAAACAGAAGCAATTACAAGAGAATGTGCACCTGCTTTCCTCACTGCACCTACCTACTATCACCTACCTATCTGGACTTACCTACCTATCAGCCACCTATCTGAACCTGCCGTGTGCTCTGCCTTCCCTCAGACGTGTGTCTACATAAGGTCAGTGCCTCCATCTCCGCACTACATCCCATTCCCTCTGAGGCTAGCGTAGTGGTTCTAAAATATGCCTACCAATTCTTCCTAGGGTTGCCAAATCCAATAAATAAAAATGCAGGTCATCCAATAAACTTGAATTTCAGATAAACAACAAATTTCAGATAAACAACAAATAACTTTTTAATGTAAGTATGGAAAATCTAGGACATACCAACACTGATAAGTTACTTGTTTATCTAGAATTCAAATTTAACTTAGTGTCCTGCATTTTATCTGGTAATCCTACTGTATACTCCCTCCACTCAAAAGATGGTACCCAATTCTTCTCCCATTGAGTGTGGGCTGTACTTAGGGACTAGATTCTAACAAGCCAAAGAAAGGGTAAGTGATAATGTGCAACCTCTGGTACTAGGTGATAAAAAGCACTGTGGCTTCCATCTTGGTCTCTCTTGCTTGCCTGGATCCCTTGCTCTGGGGGAAGTCAGCTACCATGTCATGAGCACACTCAAGCAGTCCCATGGAGAGGTCTATGTGGCAAGGAACTAGGCCTCCTGCCCACAGCCAGGCATCTGAGCTTGGAAGGAGGGTCCTCCAGCCCCAGTCACGCCCATGGATGACTGCAGCCTTGGCTGACATCTTGACTGTACCCTCGTGAGAGACCCTGAATCAGAACCACCCAGCTAGGCTGCTCCTGAATTCCTGACCCATGAAACTGTTGGATAACTGTTTTTATCTTAAGCCATGAAGTTTTGGGGGAATTTGTTATACAGCAACTGGTAACTACCGCACCAGCTCGTGGGTATCACTCCAGTAACTGTCCTCTCTCTCTGACATCATCATTTTCTCCTTTTCCCAGATTATTCCCAGCGGCACACGGACATGCTAAAATTTCTCCTATTTTAAAGAAAACTCTCTTCTGATCTCACCTGTCCTATTTCCTCTGCCTCTGTATCCAAAAACTCCTACCAAGTATTGTCTATAATCACTATTTCTGATTCTTTTTTCCCCAATCTCTCCTGAACTACTCCGATTAGGCCTTTCAGCTCTGAAAAAGCTGGTCAAGTAGAGTCACCCTTCTGGTGTTCAACCCAAAGTTCAAACTTCAGTCCTCATCTAACTTGACTCAATTATTCTTTTAATAGATATTTGTTATGTAGCTACTGTGTGCCAGGCATTGTACTAGATGCTGGGTATACAACAGTGAACAAGATAGACCAAAAAAAATCCCCACCCTTGCCAAGTTTACACTCTGGTGTGGGCTGGGGGTGGGGGACAAATAAACAAAGAAGTAAAGCACTCTGAATATTTATAGATAAAATGATATGATGTCTGGATCAAAATGTTTCAAAATAACAGGGCCAATGGCTAGGAGTAAAGATGAAACACGATGAGCCTGTGTTGTTAATTATTGAAGCTGTGTACATGGCAGCTCATTAAACTGTTCTCTACTTTGGTCTATGTTTGAAATTTTCCACAATAAAAAGTTTTTTCAAAGCACATTATGTCGGGTGTCAGGTGCAATAAAGGCATAGGAAGTGCAGGGCGCGGGGGTGGTCTTGGTCTGAAGGGGGAGAGAGAGAGACATGCCCACGGCCAAGGAAAGAGCATTCCAGGCAGAGGAAACGATATTTGCAAAGGCCCTGGCTTAAGAGAATGCCGGAGTGTTCTAGAAGCAGCAAAGTCAGCGTGGTGATGACGAGTAAGTAAAGGAAGAGTAGAAGGGGACAATCACACTGTGCCTTGGAGGCTGTGAGGACTTTGGCTGTTACTCTGAGAGTAAGCCACTGGAGGGTTTCGGGAGGAGAACGGATCTGATGTGAATAGTCACACAGAAGCCCTCACCTCCTCACCCTGAGGCCTGCTCTGCTGGGGTCTCCCCACATCAGCCAGTGACAACTCCATCCCTGCCTTTGCTAAGGCCAAACACACGGGGGCCATGGCTGACTCCTCTCTTCCCCTCATACTCCACAGCCAGGCCGGCAGCAAATCCTGCCAACCCACCTTCAGAATGAATCAGGTCCTAAATGGCTACTACCTGGGGCCAGGCTGCCGCGTCTTCTCCCCTGAGCCCCACAGTGCTCCTGCCCCGCCCCCACACAGCCCATTCTCCTCCGGCAGCTGGAGGATAAATGATGTGAGTCTTTCACGAGGGATGGAGACCCTGTACAACTGTCTTAGGAACTTGAATAATTTCAGCTGCAGGCATAATAAAAAACTTCATAAAAGGTACTTAGAAGAATGTCATTAAGATTAGTCCAATTATGTTACAAAATATTTGTTTCTGCTCTGATGATAAATAGTGGATTCTGGATAAAGCTAAAACTATACTTTAACTAGTAGAATTGAAATTCCCTCTCAAATCCCATAGACACAAAAAAGGAAGAAAGAAAAAACTGAAATCACATTTAGGTTGCTTTACTGCATACAGGTGTTTCATAAAGTTACGATGTTAACTTAAAAAATAATTTGGGGTATACTTATTATAGAAATGATTTTTAAAAGGTTCTTTCTTTAGATTTTTAGGCATAATCATTAATAGGGGAAGAGTTAAATTATGGATCAGCCATATAACAAAATAGAAAAGAATGAGGCAGATCTCTCTCTACACATACAGACTTGGAAAAACGTCTACCATAGAGTACTAGTCATAAAAATCAAGCTGAGGGGCTGGCCCCATGGCCTAGTGGTTACGTTCAGCAGGCTCTGCTTCGGCAGCCCAGGCTTGGTTCCCAGGTGTGGATCTACACCACTCATTGGTGGTCATGCTGTGGCAGCAACCCACATACAAAATAGAGGAAGACTGGCACAGATGTTAGCTCAGGGCGAATCTTCCTCAGCAAAAACAAGGGAATCAAGTTGAGGAACAGCACTTTATGGTATGAGGAAGATCACAAACAGCATGATGCCACTTGATTACCAGAACAAATGTGTATATAGTTGTTTATAGAATAGAACAATATTTGAAAAAGTATACCTTATACTGTTAGGAGTTATCTCAGGAGGATTAGATGGGAACAATTTGCTATAATGGGAACATGTGACTTTGATAAAACAATTCTTTTTCAATAAGATGCTTTAATTGAAGTATAACATGCATACACAAAGGTGTACAAGTTGTGAGAGCAGCTCACCACCTAGGTTAAGGAACAGAATGAATCAGATCCTAGATGTCCCTTCATGTCCCCCCCGTCCGTCATTTTCTCCTCTCTCCAAAACTAAGCACTGTCACAACCTAGCTGCCAAAAACAACTTTTTTAATAGAAAAAAATATTTGTGCATCAGGTCAGGGATATCAGAGAATGAGGGGGATCTGGAGCAGGATTAGGGGAGAAGTCGTAACTCAGTGATCCCCACGATGGTCCTGAGGTAAAAACCAAGCCCCATCTTCAGCCTGGCTCATGAACGCCCCGTGCACACCTTCCTGGTGGAGACCCAGGAGAGACAGCCTCGGCCTAGGGCCAGTAAGCAACCTACCACAAACAGAATAATTACGGGGTATGAAATTTGTCTAACATTTTTAAAACAGGAGACTTCAAAGAAATGTGAGGACTGTAGCAGGCACGTCAGGAATGTCAACCCTGAGGAGGCGGGACTGTTTTAAGGGATCAAGAGGGAAACTGAAGACCCAAAGGAAGCCTTCACACCACTATCTATGCAGCAAGTCTTTCCTGAATGTTCTTCACAGATTCAGTTCAGGCCCGACACCTGCCCTTTCAGGAATCCCCAGAACAAAAGCTGAAAGGCACTTCAGCTCTAGAGAAAGCTCAATATTAGAAACATGCTGGGTTCCCAGCGGTGTGTGTGCAGAGCTGAGGGAAAGGTGGCTGGTGAGGGAGAAGCTTTATCAAGGACTCAAGAGGCTCACGCTGTGCCAGATGCTCACCTCATGCAAGTACTTTATTCAGTTCTCACAAAAACAAAGTATCAGGGTCATTTTAAATGAGAAAATGAGACTCAAAGAGGTTAAGTAAATAGTCAAAGGACACAGAGCCGGCAGGCAACAGGGCTGGGATTGAGCCTGGGTCAGGCTGGCTCTGCCGCCAGCGTCCCCAAGTCCAGGACAGACCCTCCATCCTCCTCCACCTGGCGATGCTAGGACGCCCAGTCTCAGAGAGCCCGTTTCCCAGAGCAAACGCATTCTCTCTGCTGCAACCTGGCAGCACTGCTTCTGGGATTTAACACATGGCACACTGGCTCCCACACCACAGGGGGGTGCCCTGAAAAAGGAAGGAACAGAGGCCAGACCCCAGCAAACAGGTCTGCAGCACAACCACTCAACCCCGGGGGAAAACTCCCGCCGGCACTGTCCTTCTCTAACTTCTTCTAAGGAAGCAATGTGGGAAATGGAGAAAAGAAAGCCACAGGAAAGCTGAAGCCCCTTCCTTTGGGAAGAGAAGGTCCACGAACAGGAGTTCAGGGGATAAGAAGCTGCAAAAGGAAAGCAGCTGGCACCAGGCACTGAAACAGGTGCAGGACCCTCTGGAGCCACAACACAAGGTGGGTTGGGTGCCTAGGTAACAAGAGTCCCTCTGGCGACTCTGTCTGTCCACACGCATGCAGACGCACACACAGACACGTTTATTCTGGAAAAGACTCCACCTCTCAGACCACAGGAGTGGACCCATGACCCACTGTTCTCCGCCTGGGGGAGTGAGCCAGTCCATGCAGAAGCAGCAGACATATGACGGGGCAAGGGAAAGACGCCAAGGAAAGCGAGAAGGGGAGACCGGAGAGAGAAGGAAGAGTGTTGAAATGGGAGGAAGAAAAGAAAGGAGAGAGAGAGACCTGAGTAAATCTGGGGCCTGGACCCGGGAGTCCTCGCGGCGCCTGTACTGGTGACTGGTCCTACAGCCTGGTCACGCTAATTAACTCACTCTGCCTTTCTGCCTACGGCATTTCACGTTAGGCTTGATCACTCACAGTCCAAAGAGATACTATTCCAGTTGTACATAAGGAAACGCACTTCCAAAATCACACTGATACCTGAAAAACTAAGGGAACCAGACTAACTTTCAAATAAGTCCAGGAATGCGTCTTTCTTGAAGAAGCTGTTCAAAGGAAAAGTAGTTATTTTTACAAATGTTTTCTTTAATTGCACTTAAGAAACAGAAAAAATCTGTATTTAATCTTGTGCCAAGTTAAAAGAATAACCAGTAGGTTCCATTTCTTGCTTTAGGTTGTTATTACTATTAAATTATATTTTCTTGGTATGAAAATATTTTTTAAAAAATCCCAAACTAACACATAAGCAAGCAACAAACCTACCAATATACAATCATAAACACAAACACGATCAATACCTGTCTGTTAGGTAAGGCAGGACTGATATTTCTGGGTGGTTTCATTGTGAGTGGCAGCAGGCATTGCAAAGAAAAAAGTTCCTAGAACATGATAATCTTGGTTTTTAACGCAGGATAACCTCCCATTTCATGGTACACATTTCACAATATTAAAAAGCAACAACCTGGTTTACTTGATATGGACCAGGGGAAAGAGGACAAGGTTTACAGGGAGCGACGACTTACAACAAGTGCCCTGGGGGCGACCGCACTGATCAGTGCGGGGAGCAGTTTCAAAGTCCGACCCAGAAGGTAGAGGTACGGGTGCAAGTTGTCAAATCTTTACCTCTGTAGACGATCAAGAGTTGACACGTAACTTTTAAAATGTGTGTTCCCCTGTCTGTGTATAATGTACTCATGATGGTCAATCCGGGGGAGATGTGCTCCTTCCCAATAACGCGTAGGATCATTTCCAGATTCAGTGAAACGGCCGTCCTCTCCCGTGTCTTGACTTCAGGTGACCAGCCGAACGACGGAGGGTTTTCCTCTCTTGTCGGTGCAGTTTCTCTGCCTCCTGTTGCTTCTTCTGCTGTTCAGACTAAAAGGGAAAATTAAATGAGGAGAGGGAAAGAGAAAGAAAACTCCAACACTCTTTTGTGTAACCATCAGAGTGCCAACAACATGACTGCCAATCCCATCCCCGCTGCAGGCAGCAACGCTGCCCACAGGTCCCAGGGCAGGCGGGCTGGTGGCTAGACTCCGCTCCCACCAACGCTGCCCCGGCAGGAACGGCAGGACCAGGGCCAACTTTTACCGTCACTGTAAACCCCAAAATTCTAAACCCCTGGGCCAGAGAAGTGCCCTGACAGACCAGTCTGAACCACAAAGCCTGAGACTGGCTTTTCAACCAACACACAAGACCACTGGGACGTTTTAAAAGAGAATGGTCCCCTACAAAAGAGCCACTGAAGACACTATCACTTACAAAACATCCACGATTTCTCTTGTAGAACTGTCTTTTGTTTATAAGCCAGAACCATTAATTTATTCACATTGTATTAAAAACAAAACAAAATACTATGTGTACTGAAAGGATATTATAACCCACTCAGGGTTAAGTATTCATTCAGCAGAACTGGTTCCACACAACTAGACGGACCCACAACTAAAATCTACAACTATGTACTCAGGAGATTTGGGGAGAAAAAGCAGGAAAAAAAAGAAAAGAAGTGGTTCCAAAGAATTTTTGGCTGTTTTCAAAAAAATCAAACTCCCCTGAAAAGCCGAGATTTACACAGATGACAGCTCGGCAGACAAGTCACAGGCTCACAGCTGAATGAGCACATAGACTCGCAGTTTAAATGTGTCCACACTCGGTCTCAATACTCACTTGGTGAGAGAGGGACCTCCTCCCTGCCCCAAACAGTGTCACTACTTCTGGCAGAAATCTTTTTTTTTTTTTAAGATTTCATTTTTCCTTTTTCTCCCCAAAGCCCCCTGATACAGAGGTGTATATTTTTGAGTTGTGGGTCCTTCTGGTTGTGGCATGTGGGACGCTGCTTCAGCATGGTTTGATGAGTGGTGCCATGTCTGTGCCCAGGATCTGAACTAGTGAAACCCTGGGCCGCCACAGCAGAGTACGTGAACTTAACCACTTGGCCATGGGGTCAGCCCCAGTCTAGCAGAAATCTTAAAAGAGAAGAGTATTAACACAGAGTCCATGGCGAAGGTAAGAACTGTGTAGTTTTAAAAACACATCTGATAGTTTTGATAATACAAACTCCTGAATGTAAAGCTCAAAAAAACATCCTTAGCTGGTTTTGGTACTGCCCAGAGGGAAACTTGAGAAGCCCCGTTAGGGGCCTGAGTTCTAACAGTTGAAAAACACTGCCTTACAGACACCTGTGAGGCCTGTTGACGACACCCTGTGTTCTTCTATGCACCTAAAAATATTCACTTGTATCTTATGCTTCAAGGAAAAGTCTCTCCATTCACCTCCAGCTGATATTATTCAATATTTTAAAATTAGAATTGGGAGGTGAGGGAATAGTGGGAAAGCAAAGCAATTTGTAAGACCAAAAACTGATGAATTTCCCCTATTCTAGGAAGCTCTTACACTGGGATTCTGAATAATTCTCTACATTCTTTTTTTTTAGCGAGGAAGATGGGCCCTGAGCTAACATCTGTTGTCAATCTTCCTCTTTTTGCCTGAGGTAGACTGTTGCTGAGGGAACATCTGTGCCAGTCCTCCTCTATTTTGCATGTGGGATGCTGCCACAGCATGGCTTGATGAACAGTGTAGGTCTGCGCCCAGGATCTGAACCCATGAACCCCAGGCCACTGAAGCGGAGCACGTGAACTTAATCACTACGCTGCTGGACCAGCCCCTCTTTTTTTGATTATTACCATTTCTTCAAGCGGCTTTTCCAAAATAGGCCCTGCCCTGTGTACCCCACCTGAGGACGTTCCACATCCCTCCCCCGGCTCTGTCACTGCCCCCACGCAGGCCCCGTTACAGCCTTCCCGATGCAGCCCACCGCGGGGGCTGATTTCCGAGGGCCCTCTGCACCTCCCCTCCAGTCCACTCCTCATGCAACAGCCACAATGAGTTTTAAAAATAAAATGGTATGTCAGTCTTCTGCTAACGAAAACAGTTTGACAACTTCATGGTCCTCAGGGTTAAGGTTGAACTTAACATGGCTTACCGACACGGCCCTATGAGACAGCTCCATGTGCCGTTCCTGTTAGACCCCATGCCTCCCTTCACCTTGACCCCTTGTTTTACACACACAGACTCCCATTTAGACCCCCGAGCACATCTGGCTCCCTGTCTCAAGCAAGAACTTAGCATGGCTGTGCCTTGTGCCTGGAACCCTGCCTGCCCTCCCCGGCTCTTACTGGTCTTTGAGACCCAACCTGTCTATCACTGATCCCTCCCTAACTCCTCTGTCCAGGTCAGCCCTCCATCCTCCCTTGGAGCACTCACCACGTTATAATGATCCAACTGTATATGTATCTCTCCCAATAGACTGAGAATTGTGGCAGCAAGGACTATGTCTGTCTTGTTCTGCGTGTCCCCAGCAAGTGACACAGAGCAGACACTCAATACATATTTATGCACTGAAAACCTGAGGGAAAACGCACACGTCCAGGCAGACCAAATAACAGTATCATAAGACCCTTGTGAAGGTAACAAACACTGGCTATTTAATATTTTGTTTCTTCATGTTAAAAAGTATCTCTAAAAAAGGTGTCTATTGTTCAAATAGTTTTGGAAAATGAGGTACTAAATAAGATAAACAGAGTGTGCTGGGGTCTCTAAGTGAGGTGCTTTCGCGCTCTTCAATATGGACATCAGTCGTTGGCATTTCCCTTACGCGTCTGATGGCAAAGCGATTTCCCGGGAGCACCTCTCCATCTCCTGGAGCACATTTTGGGGAGCCTGCCAGACTCTCCCCACAAAGGCAGGAGCCTACAGAGGAGCTTGTAGGCAGCAATGACGATGCTAGAGGCATACCTCCACCCAGAAAAAGACTCTCCTGGCTTCTGTCTCCAAGGTTGCGTCTGCAAGATGCTGCCAGCAGGTGACCAATTCGTTATGATTTACAGGCCAAGAGCCCCGTGCAAGTTCTCTCCTGCTCCCTCTTGCTCCTGCCCTGGCTGCTTCACCGCAGTCCCAGCAGTCCTCCAGAGCGGAGAGGAGGACAAACGCCAACCACACACCTGCGTCAGCAGCAGCCCCGCTGAAGACCTGCTGAGGCGCTGGAGCACGGGAGCGGGAAAGTGCATGTGCGGCCTGAGCCGAACGCTGCCACTACACGATTGTAAATAATGTTAAAGCACAGGTTTTCCTCTTAAATTTTATTCATATCTTAGGAAGTACGTATGAAAATACTGGGAAAACTCGAGATTTTACCTGAATATATTACACACTTAGTATAAAAAGAGATTTCTATAAAACAATACACAAATTCCTAAATATTCTTAAATAAAACAGATTTAATAATCAAAATTTTGTTAGGCAAATGATACAACAGGCATAAATCAAATATTAAATGATGTATCCCCCAAAACAGTTTCTAAGACTCTGCTTTTGAGGCCATTTTAAGTACTTCTTGGTGCTTCTTTAGTGTTCAGCAAAAAAAAAATTTCAGAGCCATCTTATTTTCACGTCACCACAAATTAAAAACTGATGTTCCACTTAGTACCTTCTACTTAAAAAAGACAAAGTGAGGAAAGACGAGTGCTTGGATCCCCCTGCAAAGTGGAAGCTCCCTCCCTCCAGCAGAGCGGAGGCAGCCCACGGCCACCCCTCCACCCGGCACTGCCCCGCCTCTCGCTGTGCATCTTGTACTTCAGGGCGAACAGGAAACGTCTGAAGGAACAATTTATAAGAAATCAGGAACGGGCACAAGAAGTTACTCTGGACACACATCGGTTTTGGCTTATTTAAATGAGAAGCGTAAGAGTGCAAATTTGCTCTAAATGGAGACAGATTTAACTGAAAAGCTCCTTACACTTAGAATAAAAAAGTTCTTATAATTCGGCACGCCTCCTGGATGCTGTCAGAGAGAACTGTCGAAGAATCAGAGGTGGATGGGCAGAGGATTTGAACAGATATTTCTCCAAAGAAAATATACAAATGGCCAATAAGCACATGCAAAGATGCTCTACCTCACCAGGGAAATGCAAATCAAACCACAGGATACCACTTGACACCCACCAGGATGGCTATGACAAAAAAGACGGCAGTAAGTGTTGGTGAGGATGTGGAGAAAGTGGAGCCCGCCTACACTGCTGCTGGGAACGTAAAATGGTGCAGTGGCTTTGGAAAACAGGCTGGCAGCTCCTCAAAAAGTTAAACAGTTATCACAGGACCCAGTAACTCCACTCCTCGGTATAAGCACAAGAGAAATGAAAACATACGTCCATGCAAAAGCACAAGCCTGAATTTTCCTATCAGCATTACTCATAAAAGTCAAAAAGGGGAAACAACCCAAATGTCCATCAACAGATAGATGGATAAACAAAATGTACATTATCCACACAATGAAATGTTATTCAGGCCTAAACAGAAAGGAGGTTCTGAAAGCTACAACATGGATTAACCTGGAAAACATGCTAAGTGAAAGAAGCCAGTTGCAAAAAACCCCATATTCTACGATTTCATTTATATGAAATGTTCAGAACAGGCAAATCCATAGAGACATAAAGTAGATCAGTAGTTGCCTAGGGCTGGGGGGATGGGAGTACGGGTGACTGCTAAAGGTTATGGGGTTTCCTTTTGGGATGATAAGGATGTCCTGAAATTAGATAGTGGTGATCATTACACACCTTAGTGAATATACTAAAAACTCTGAAGTGTACAATTTAAAGATGCAAATTTTATGGCATGTGAATTTCATTCTAATTAAAAAAAAGAAAATCAGAGGTGGAGTCTTTGTCCCTCTTTCTCACTTGGTGAAATATATATTAAGGGAGATCGACTGAACGAGAAAAAATTTTTGAAAAATAAAACCACGTAGTTTCACTCATCAGTTAATGGCAAATATTTAAGCAGCTTATTCCTCCTATAATGTGGACCAGTATTACTAAGGCTGACTAAAGAAATGACTCTTACAAATCAGTTTATAACCTATTATATAGGCTATATATAAACCAGTGTGTACCCTAACTGATGGAGTAAGTCGCCTTCCGAAACTATAGTACCCTGGGTGAGCCGGACATTACTGCCACGAAGGTGCTAGAACTCACCGATTCTGGGTCTTGTTTAAAGTCCATGTGAGCTTTCAGCCTTCCTTTACAGCCTTAGCTGGTCAGGACTGCTGCTTTACAAGGCTGCACCTCGGGCCCCAGTGACTCAGAGACCACACTGCCGCTTCCTCACCAACAGTGCCAACTCCCAGGTCACTAAGGTCCCGCCTCCCTCAGGACACCAGAAACACACCTGCCTCTGCCTTAGTCAAGCCGTGTACCCTCCACCCAGGAGGGGCTCTGGCTGCAGGGAAAAACGCTACAACAGGAACACACCTTCCTCAATAGGGGAAAAACCTGGGGAGGCAGTTCTGAGGTTGGAAACACCCACAGCACTATTGGAAGTCTATTTTTCTTTTGTGAATTAAAAAACAACACTAAAAAACAACTTACCCTCTTTAAAGTGAATGTCAACTGTTTGCTGCCAACCGTGGTGTCTGATACACTCAACGTCCCATTTTTTGCTTCCAGTTTCAAACGATCTTCAAGGGTTTTACTGTAGGAAATTTAAGAGAATGACAATGAGAATTATGTTTTGATTTACCATTTGAAACAAGTTTTAATTACGACTGATCACATAAAGAAAAATCTTTTACATGTGTGGTAAAGATAAAAATGGCATTCAATTAACAGAACAAATGGAAAGAATTAGGGGCACTCAAACAGTCATTACTCGCACTCAATAGATGTACAATGAAAACAATGGCTGCCAAAAACACCCACTGATTTAATATTTTAAGTGGTGGTTCCAAATATTTCAATGGTTGCTACTTATCTTACTAAATCATATTTCTGAAGCCCAAATGCAAGGAGCAATACGTCTGAAGCCTGTAATTTACTGTAATGGTCAGTGGCACTTATGTTTCTAAAGCATTTTATATTTAAATCATGCACAACTTAAGCATGTGAGTATTTCAGCAACTCATTCACCTTCTACAAAGGAGTGAACATGAACTAAGTCTCAGGTCAAACCACAGAGGAGGCTGCAAGAATTCTGACTTCTTCCTCAGTGTTAGCTCACTGGCCTGCACTCATCACTCATGGTACGAACAACCTGAGACACGAATCCGTCTGATTACACACAGAGAAACCAAGAGCAACTGCACTGAGGGTGAACTCTGATTCAGCCCTAGTCACTGCCATTTCTCCAGGTGTCCTTCCTTTCAATTTCTTACTTGAATTACTTGGACACACTTTACCCCAAATTTAAAATTCATTTCATTTCCTGATCTTGTTTTCTAAATTTTTCTAGGGTCTGTTTATATAATCTGTGTCCCTTTATGGTATGCTGGGCCTTGCAATTCATTGTCATCTGCAATTAACACCATCCCACCTTTGCTTTATAATAAAGATGATAAATTTGAATTTTGTACCAGTTATACATATAACAGTTGATTGCATGTTGTTATAATAATGTTTTATCATAAAATCAGAACCTTTGGCCCTTTTTGTTAACTTGGTTGAAAGGGGAAGAAACTGAATTAAGCCTAAAGATATAGAGTTTGAACATTAGCTCCACCCCTTCTAGAAATGGCTAAAGCAACTCCTTTACATGCCCGTGATGAAACTGAGAGGGGAGGAGAGGGAAGAAGAGAAAGAATATGGTTCTCTCTTCCATTCTGTTCTCTCCTCAAAAAAAAAGTAAACACATTTGCCTTTCTGATACTCCTTCTACCAACTAAGATTGAATGTGCCCGTTTAAAAATTTATACTAAAAGACTTGATTGAATAAAAAAAGACTGAATTATGTGAAAGGGTCTTCTTTTTCCCAAAATACGACCTTTGTAACTAATTACTAAGGAGAACACAGCTCCTAAATGATCCATAAGACAAAGAGACGCTCCTTTGAAATTTTGAAGCTAATGTTTGATGTTCGCACCATGAGAGATTTCTCTCTTGTTTACGATTACTAAAAAAGTACTAACCATACCCTCTCTACATAATTTGAGACATAAAGTGGTTGGAGCAAAAGTGGCACTCTTTTCCAAGCAATAATGTTATTAAGAAGCACTTTTAAAGTACTTTTCATCTTCAAAGTTCTTTACAGATTAACTAATTAATCCTTTCAACATCCCTGAGACAGAAGTATTTATCCTTTATAGATGGCAAAAAGGGAGGTAAGATGGTAAGGACTTGCCCCAGGCCACAGAAGGATTCAAGTCTAAAACCAGGATTCCAATTTAAGAATCTCTGGTTTCCAGGTGTGTGTCAGACGATACTTGATTTATAAAGTTTGTTCAGGAAACATGTCCGTTAAGTGTTCTGAATGACAAGCTCCCACCTGACAAGCTGAATGAAGTTAATACTTAGTTTAGCTTTTATTTTTTAACAAGGATTCAGCAGTGAGGTATAAACTGACTCTAGCACGCATGTGAATTATGTTAGCCTAAGCAAATTCCTCAGCCTGCTCATTTCACTGTTGTTCTTTCCGTTCATAGCTATAAACTCGGAGGCTGTAAAGTTAACAGGACTTCTGAATAACCGTGGAGCCACCGAGACAAGGTGGTACACAGAAGACACTCATTTGGGAAGAAAAAGACTTTTCAAGTAAATTGTGGGAAATTACTACTCTTAAGAATGACCTTATTTCCTCCATGATAGGGTATATAAATTCTGGTTTTCTCTCAATGCACTTTCGATGTGCACATGTAAAAACTTGTTCTGTCTAGGCTACTTGGAAAGACAAGCCGAGTTTTAGGACGAGCCATGGCAGAAGATCAGACACAGGGCCCGAGTGTGGAGAGTTCTACATTAAAGCAAGTCCTACTTCCCTCCCTTTGAAAGTCAGTTTACAGAATGTGGCTGCTAACCAGCAGTTCCAAAGCCTGCTCCTTGAGTGTGAATTCAGTCAGAGATGATTTCAGAAGGAGACAGACACCTGGAAACTCTACTGTAACAGAAGAGCAAAATGCAGAAACCCACAGTGCATGTCCTTCTCAGGGCTCCGTCCACACTGGCCGCCTGTGGCAGAGGAGCGCTGGCATTCCCTTCCTGCCCCCGGCCCTGCCCCACCCTGCTGCTTCCGTCTGGTCTTCAGGTCTGCCGGCTTTGGGGTATGTTGTTATTCAGAGTAAGGCTAAGAGTTTTAGGGGAAAAGACCTCACTGCCGCAAGAGGAACAACAACTCCCCCAGATTTGTGGGGACTGCTAAGGAAAAAGAGATGGGCTTCAGAAGGCTGAAAGTGAGAGGAACCACTCGGCACAAGATACAGAGGGCTCTACGGGGAAGAACTTGAACTATCAGTAGGCCTATCTTAAAATAAAAAGAAAAATGAGCATAAACTACAAGGGCAAAATCAAATTGGATATTTATTAGATGCCCCAAGAAAGCTGAAAGATTTACTTCTTTGAGGCTTTAAAAACACACACTACTACTTCTTTAATTAAAACTATTTAGTTAAAAATAATGCTCCTCAACTGAGAGGTTTTTAAATCACTTTGCATGGAAAGGGAGGTAGAGGAGTGGAAAATAATATCCATAAAGGCACATGCTTTAGTAAGTATAGCATTCAAAAGAGTTACGCTAACTTTAATTAAAATAAAGGAAGCACCCTTCACAGTCTACATCAAGGGGAATAAGAAGAAAATGGAGACATGGAATCTGCAGAGAAATGAATTTTAAGTATTTTAAAATTTTAAGCCCTTTGTTTTAACTTTGAAAACTATTTACATGTACTGTAACAATCACTGAAAACATGATTTCAACGCTTTCAGTTTGCATGTTGCTTCAAAGCCCCTATCTTAGGAGATGTAAATTCAAGCAACGATGGAGTCTGACACCTTCATCTATCAGCTTAGTTGAAACCTGAAAAGACTCCTAACATCCACTGTTGTTGCAAGTGTGGGCAAACAGGCCCTGAGTAAGACCGCAAAGTGCACAAAGCCTTTTTCCAGGGCGATGTGGGGCAATGTGGCCCATCTACCACACACTCCTTTTGATCCAGCAAATTCCATTACTAGGTAATATAGTCTAGAGAAATTCTTGCACACGTGCACACATTTATAACTGAAAAAAGATAAGAGAAAAACAAGAAACAACCTAAACACCCAAAATAAGGGGATGTTGTTATGGCCCTTATGAAATATTTATGTAGCTGCAAGGTAGACTGACGTGTACTCACAAAGAAAAATTTCCAAAACTTATTGTTAAATGAAAAGAGTAAGTTCTTCAGCAACATGCTCAGTATGATCCACTCCTGTAAAAGAAAGAAGAGCTAAAACTACACGTATGTGAGTGTGTACACACACGAGTTCATTCTGAAAGGGCGTGCACAGCAGCTACCTCAGGGAGGGAGCGTGGGGGTGTAAGAGACTGACCTTTCACTCCACATTCTTAAGTATTACAATGGAAATATGCAAACTATTACTTGACTACATACTACCTCAGTAATAAAAGAGTCTCCGTAAGTGTAAGTTTGGAGTTAAGTTGCTTTCAGAAGTAGATTTTTTAAATGCTTCTCTTAAAACAAGACTGCCTTCTTTCAGCTCTCATCCACTATCACTGAGGAAAATGAGCCGAAGAGTAACCATAGTTAGTTCACAAAGTCGATAAGCAGACGTGATAAGCAGCTCACCCAGAGCTCCTAAAACTGCCCGGAGAAGAGGAGTTCCCCAAAAGGCAGGAAACGTCCTAAACACCTTGAATTTCCAGGACCTACCACAGGGTAGGTGCTTCAAAGAACGCTTTCATGAACTGAACTTAAAGGGCCACTCAGCTGGTAGTATTCATTACCCAAGAAGAGGAGACATCCTCGGCTTCTGAAATTCAGAAAACTGTCACTGCAAGGACTTGCCTCCTCCAGGGCTCAACAACAGACAGCTCGGACGTTTACACGACCCCTTGCAGACCACGCTGCCCCCACATAACTGAAGGGGCTCATGTGCCCAGGCTCCAGACGCAGGCCAGCAAGCAGGATCTTCCCAATCTCTTACCTAGAAATGTGATTCTTTCCATCCTTCTGACTTCTTTCCCTGTGTCTCTGAAGATGTACCCCTTGTCCTTTCTGAGGCTACAGCTCCTGGCCCCATTGCCTCCTGGCTGCTTACCAAATTCAGCTCTGTCCATTTAGTCCATTCTCTCATTTCTTTACAGTCCCCTTTCCTAGGTTAACTCCTCTCTGCCTATTAACATATCACATCTCTCAAGCCTAAAAAACCTTTCCTGTCAAGTTTTTGGCTTTGACTCCTTCCTTTCACTGCCAAACTTCTTGAAAGAATCATCTACACTAATTTTTCACAATAATTTTTACCTCCATTCATTGATCGATTGATCATTTGGTCTGAGTGCCTGAGAAACCAGTTCCAATAATGCAATCTTCCCAATGGCATTTTCCAACCTTTGTTCCGCAGACCTCCCCACTCCAGCTGCCGTTTGTACCCCATCCTTCTCTCTGACAGTCTCTCCATGCTTGGCTCTTCAGTTTCCTCTGCCTTTCGGAGAACTCCTCCGTAATTTTTACTGTCCATCTTCTCCTGTGCCTGTCATCTAAATCAGAATCCTTAGCCCTAGGCTGTATCAATGTATCTGTGACGTTTCTAAAATTTTATGTATTACTCTGCATGGATTTGTATTTTTCTAAAGAGAAGATTATGGTTTTTATCCCAGACTCAAGAAAAACATTTGCTGTTGCCAAGGTCTGCATTCTTAGCTCTCACCGCACTCCACACACTCATGGTCAGTCTTTCATGCTGCATTTCACACAACAGCTGCTATCCCTTCAGCCAACCTCTCCGGCCCCTCCGACGTTTCCATTTGTCTGCCGAACATGACCAAAAAAGACATCTGGCACTGCAGACTTAACGTGCTGAATATCCAGCTCAACGCTTTGAGCCTTCAATCTGTTTTTCCTTCTATATTCTTTATCTCAGTAGCAACAGTGCCAGACCCTTCAACATCATCCCTGGGTCTCCCTTTGATATTAAATTAGTAACCAAACAATGTTGTGGCATATCATTTTTCTCAAGATGGTCTTATGAATAATTTGGTTCTAAGTCTGTCTGCTCCTCTCTACCCCTGGTCAGGCTTTCAGCACTTCTGACTGGGACTACTGCATAGTCTGTTAGCTGATCTCAGGGGTCCAGTTTCTCCCCACCTTTTCTCTCTAAAACTGAGGTATTTCGTTAAGAGGTTTCTGGGAAATAGGGACGTTTAATGCCTGTATGTTTTTATCTTTATTTTCTACAGCAAACATGTACTGCTTTTATTTAAAAGTATAAACATTATGGGCACGAAGGGCTGGTATCGATTTGATCATGTCACTCAGCTTACCAACTTTCCTTGGCTCTCCAGTGGTCAGAACGGGGCCCAACACGTCCTTCGGGCCTCACCTACTGCTGCTCCCCGACATACTCTAGGCTCTTGCCACACAGAAACAGTCTTCCCCGCCGCGTTCACACAGCGTCCTTGGCTCACGCTGAGCCTCTGCTAGAACGCCATCTTCCCAACCCTGCTTTCAGTGCTCATCTTTTCATCTTTCAAAAGACCACTTTCAATATGACCTCTTATAAAGATTTCTTTAAGTCTCCAAAAATTGAACCCCTTTTTTTCTTATGTCTTTCACATGCCTCTTCGCAGGCCACAGAGTATCAGCGGGCATGTGAATGCTCCAGGCTGTGGGCCGCACCTGTCCGGTCCAGAACGGTGCTTTGCTCACACTAGGTACTCAGCAAGTGTTTGATGAATGAATGGATGGGTGGAGAGGCTGAGAGGTGGAGGAACACACTCACAAATAAAGTCTAGCTACTGTAAGGCATATAAATGCGTGTGGAAAGACATACGCATTTCTCTAAAGCCGTATTACTCTGCCAAGTAGAGAACAGAACTCACTCAAGTATTGAGTTACAATCCACTGTTCACTTTTCTCTTTACAGAATAGTTTTAAAGCTGGGCAAGTACCAGTGAACGTTTAAACGTAATACACTCAATTTTGATGTTGTGTTTTATCGATTGCCTTGTAGTAACTCGCAGAATAAACATAAGGAGTCACTTTAGTTCTCTGAAGGATAATGGTTCACTGCTTCATTAAATAATATTAAGATACTGCAAGTTCAGGATTTGCCAAAATAATCCAGTCAAGACTAGAATTCAATAAGCGGTTTACGCCAAAATGCCAGCAAACCGCAGGCTATTCATACCAAAGGGTTATTACTTTAAGCAACGGGATTTTTCTTTTAAGCCCATTTAAGTATTATCACTTAAACAGCTCCTCCGCTTAAAAAAAAGCTTTACCTTAGTGATGTTTAACTCAGTAAGAATGTTTAAATGCGGTGCATTAACTTAGCTATTACTTATTCATTAAGTAGGAAGTTTTTATCCCTTTTGTTTCTTACATTAAATTTGCTGCTACAACCCACAGGCAGAAGAATGTCTGTGAGATCAGTCATGCCTCCCACCCCCAAATCATGGCCTCCTGTTTCCATGGTTACACTAAAAACAACTGCTCCCAGATTTCCCTGGTCATGGGGTAGTGGAGGGAATAAGTTCTTTCTCAGCACATCCTGAAAGGGTAACTTTTCCAGTTGCCTGACACGCAACCAAGGTGCAGAAGATGCATGCTTTCAATAAGGATTGATCAAGTGCCTACTTCGGTCTAGGCACTGACTCAAGAGCGAGGGACAAAGTAAATAAAACAAGACAGAAACAGCAGATAACCTAACAAAGAAATTCACTCTACAGAATCAGAAGACTAGAAACATGCCATCTTCCCCCTGCTTCTGAGTAGGACTCCAAAGACCTAAGAATAACAGCTATCTAAAAAGAGAGGCTGCACACACTGCTGGCAGGAAATGTAAATGAAACAGCCTCTTTGGAAAACAGTTTGCCAGTTTCTCAAAAGTTTAAACATAACGTTACCATGTGACCAGCAGTTCCACTCCTGGGTATACAGCCGGGAGAAACGAAAACATGTCACTGCAAAAACTTGTACATGAATGTTCACAGCCACATCATTCATAATAGCCAAATAGTGAAAACAACCCGAATATCCACCAACTGATATATGGATAAATAAAAATGTGGTATATCCGTACACTGGAATGTCACTCGGCAATAAAGACAAATGAAGCACTAACACATGCCACAACATGGACGAACATTAAAAACATTGTGCCGAATAAAAGAAGCCACACATTGCATGATTCCCTTTATATGAAATGTCAGAACAGGCAAATCTATAGAGACAGAAAGTGGACTAGTCTTATCCGGGGACAGGGCAGGGTGGGGCAGACAGGAGTGAGTGCGAATGGGGTACAGAGCTTCGTGTTGGGGTACTGAAAATGTTCTAGAATTGACTGTGATGATGGTGGCACAACTCTGTGACTGTCCTGGAAACCAATGAATTACGCGCTTTAAGTAGCTGAATTTATGTTATGTGAATTATATCTCAAGAAAGTTGTTATAAAAGAAAAGTGAGGTTGGTAGCCAAAGAAAATATCTTTAAAAGACATCAGTCTATTAACTACATTCTTTTTTTACCCAAATATCTTTTGTTAGTTAGTCAGAATCAGAATTTCCACATGCTCCTGGATTCTAAATCAAAGGATTCACTCAACTTTTGGGGTCCCAGATATTTACTAGAAGCTGGTGAAATAAAGACGAACAGGCATATCTCCATTCCAGAAACAATTCAACCTGTCCATCGATGTCCTCCCGCCTTGTCCCCCTTCCTCCATCTGAAAAACCACATTTTCCTAGAGAGAAAGCTGGGAGCTGGAAAAGCACAACGTAGAGAACTTGTACTGCCCCAGCCCAGCATAACACCTCATCTCTTCTGCCCAGCTCTTCCTCCTCCGTCTCCCCGGCTTGGCTCCCCAGACCTTCAAGCTCTTCTCCTAATATTATCTACTATGACCATCCATCACATTCGAACCTTATACATCAATACTTAGCCTAGAAATTCTGAGAGACTTTAGTAGCTACCTTGTTCCTCACTTAGATTCTGACAACTGAAACTCTTCAAATAATACCATTTTTGAAGATTGATTTTCTTTTTTTTTTTTTAAAGATTAGCACCTGAGCTAACAACTGTTGCCAATCTTTTTTTTTTCCCCTGCTCTTTTCTCCCCAAACCCCCCCAGTATATAGCTGTATATTTTAGTTGTGGGTCTTCTAGTTGTGGCATGTGGGACCCCACCTCAACGTGGCCTGATGAGCGGTGCCATGTCTGCACCCAGGATTCAAACCAGCGAAACCTGGGCCACTGAAGCAGAGTGCGCGAACTTAATCACTCAGCCACGGGGCCGGCCCCTGATTTTCTTTATTGTGGTAAAATATATATAACAAAACTTACCACTCTAACCATTTTTAAGTGGACAGTTCAATGGCATTAAGTGGTATCTCACCCATTTCCCTAACGGGTGGTATCTACCCATTTCCCCTCTCCCCATGCCTGGCAACCACCATTCTGCTTTTTGTCTCTATGTGTTTGACTATTCTGGAATACTACTCTTTCTAATCTCTCAATTTTCCTGCAAAATGCTTAACATTTCTGGCAAATTTTCCAAGTGACCTTTTCATTAATCACATAAACTGAGATGGGGGTAAACAACTGAAATTCTAATTTTTTTAAATAATTTTTTTGTTAAGAGCAAAGAATTTGTTACCTCTGTTAACTATCACTGTCCACAAGGCTTCAAGGCACTGATCCATATAGCACAGAATCAGATCAGTATCCCTACGTTAGAGAACCCGATGGGGAAAAACCAAGAACAACAAAAACAAGTCTGGCTGTTGCAGTGTAAACATGCTCTAATGTACATTTACCAATACACAGAGGGCTATACCCTGTGCTTTACTGTATGTAAACCATACCTCCAAAAGCTGTTAAAAATAATTATCATAAAGACCAGTGTATTTTAATAGTGACATTGCCCTCAGGCCTTGTGGTGCTGCCCTCACGTTAACTCCAAAGATCAAAATGTCACCCTTAGGGCAACTTGCCAGTGAGGAAAAGCAGGGCTCAACAACACGTCAGTCATCACTGAGAGTGTTACTCACTTCATCAGCTTCTGCTTTGTGGCAGAATCTTTGAAGCTTCTGAATTCTTCTCCTGCTTTGATCTCATAAAACTGGGGCTTGAGGACCGTCTGCTGGTCCTCCTTGAGTCGTTCCTGCCGCTTCACTTTTTCCTCCTGCTGGAGAAGTCTGCGTTGTTTCCTGACCTCTTCAACCCAGGCCTTTTCATCATCTGAACTCTCAGAACTTTCGGCATCACTTGGTTTTCCTTCCGGTTCTTCCTCCTCTTCCTGGAATAAAAATAGTAAGAAGCAGCTCCTTCCCCCCAACCAAACACTGACCCATTATTCTTCTAAATAGCATTAGCTCATCTGAGTAGAAGATGTTGTATGGACTGGACAAAAATGCCTTTAGTTAAATAAGATATAATCCTAAGGTGAAAGTCAAACAAATTATATTTTGAGCGTACTCAAAGACTCTTTTAGCTTCAAAGAAACTTTATATAAACAAACAATGAGGGGCTGGCCCCGTGGCCGAGTGGTTAAGTTTGCACTCTGCTTCTGCAGCCCAGGTTTCGCTGGTTTGGATCCCGGGTGCGGACATGGCACCGCTCATCAGGCCATGCTGAGGCGGCGTCCCACATGCCACAGCTAGAAGGACCCACAACTAAAAATATACAGCTATGTACTGAGGGGCTTTGGGGAGAAAAAGGAAAAAGAAAATCTTTTAAAAAAAAAGAAAAGAAACAATGACAAACTCTAAATGATTCAGAGTACATTACTTTTTCATGAAGTTCCTGTTGCTCTAAGAGTCTTAGTTTCTTCTTCCTTTTTTCACTAATTTTTGAAACAAGTGGATTCAAAAGCCTAAATTCTTCACTCTCTTCATCTACTTGGAAGTCAGGGTTCTCAAACATAACTTTAAATCGATCATCGGTGAGAATATTAGGGAGGCTCTATAAGAAAAAGAATGTAAAAATTTAAAGTTAATATCTGAATAAAATCTGACCAGAAATATGGCTTAAAAACATTTCACTCAATTATAAATTAATAAGCTGCACAAGACATAACTTATTAAATTATTATAAAATTTCTTTAGAACTAGTTTCCAGAATTTTCTAATTGCCCCGGGACTTATCTTCTACCCACAAAACAAATTCTACTAATCTTTTTCACAGACAATATGTATTGCTTGGACATTACACATAATGAGCTAAGAATGTGCCTTTTTGGCTAAGTCTATGCTTAATACATTAGAAAGAATTTTCTTCAATTAACATTTTAACGCAAAAAGACTTTTCAAAGAAACATATGTTTTTGAAACATGGCTTTTTAAGCATAGTTACTACTGAATTAAAATTAGCGAGTCTTTCAACTTCATATTCCAAAACTGAGAGACGAAGTATACATTGACAAGTCGAGAATTAACACGGTGGGACTTGTGGGTAAGCTTGCTGACTCAAGTGAGTTATTGGAAAGATAAGGGATGTTTCCATCCCTTATAGATAGTCTCATAAATTTTTTTCTCTAGGCCATTTAATTGTTCTCAAAGGATACACTGTTAAAACTTTGTCATTTTGACAAAATAAAACTTTGTTATTCAGACTCATTTGGACAGCTCAGGAGTGATACAAAATTCTTCTGTTTGTACCAGTTTTGAACAGAAAGTTTTCTAGAATGTACTGTAAACTGATGTGTTCACGTAAACAGATGACAATCTTACACACTCAGGGCTCTCCTATTGTTCCTTCCCTGCTATGGCCTTGGAAACCAGATAAATCAACCTAATTAAAATGGTTTGTAAAACAGAGTAAACAGCCCGAACACAGGCTGGAAAAGCTAACCTGTTTGTGTTGGACTCCAGCTGTACGGAACGGACTTTGTTTTACTGACTGTTTCTCCATTATTTAGAGTAAACAAGGTTGTAAGCAGCTGAGTTCTGAATACTGTACTCGTGTAACAGAGCTACATGAAAATGCGGTAAATCGTGAGACATTAAGGAACGTGGCCTGTTTATTACCTACTCTATGGACCTAAAATCTGATAAATCCTACTTAAAATTCTATGATATACTGAATATATACTTGAGATATATTGAACAAGTCTTCCCTGATTAAATATCATTTCTGAGACAGATTTAGGTTCAAAAAAGAAAAAAGACAGATAAGATCTAGTTCCTGATCTGAAGGTGCTCACTCACAGTCTAATAAGAAAGCAAAAACCAGCTGTACGCTACAGGCCTTATGAAGGACGCTAACCAGCTGAAAGAGGTCCAGGAGCAGAGAGCTGATACACAGTCCCAACAAGAGACATCTCAGAAGGGCTCATAGGGGATGTGCCATCTGGAGGAGGCTTGAAAGAAGAGTAGGTTTCAACAGATAGAAATCTAAAGAGCATTTCCAGCTCACTGAGGAGTGGTGAATAGTCTGATGATGCAAGAACAATGGCGAAATTTGAAAAAGCACTTTTTGATCAGGTCAGGTTCTAAAGGATTTGAAATACCATGACCTTTACTCAGCAGGTGAGGGGACTACTAGGGAAGAAGAGGATGAGGAGGAAACAGATGCCCGAAGTGTGCTTCAAGAATCTCCGATGGCAACGGTCCTCAGCAGCATGGTATATGATGGACTGCTTAGAGAGAAACCAGAGTCATGAGGAAGACTAAGAAACCACTTGAGAAAACTGGGAGAAGAGCCAGGGCCTGAATCAGGGCAATGGGAATCTAAAGGTGCGAATACGAGTTCTTCAGGAGAGGATTATCATGAGATGCACTTCTAAGTTAGAATTGGTAGACACAGCTATGGAGGAGATGGGGGAAGGTTAAGAGTGAAAAACAGGGTTGGAAATTTCTCTCAAGTGTCTAGCTTAAATGACTAGAAAGCTGGTGATAGCATGAGTCAGGATCCATCATTGGAGATCATCAGAAAAAGAGGCATAGGGTGGAGTAAAGGGCAAGAAATTATGTTCCAAGAAACCAAGATGTCCTTTAGTAGGTGAACGGATAATTAAACTGTGGTACATTCAGACAATGGAGTATTATTTGGCACTAAAAAGAAATGAGCTATGAAGCCATGAAAAGACACAGAGGAACTTAAATGCATATTACTACATGAAAGAAGCCAGTGTGAAAAGGATGCATATGTATGATCCCAACTATATGACCTTCTGGAAAAGGCAAAACAATGGCAACAGTACCAAGATCAGTGCTTGGCAGGGGTGAGGAGGGAGGGGTAAACCGGCACAGCACAGAGGATCTTTAGGGCAGGTAAACGGTCTGTGTGACACTCTAATGGTGACACACATCATTACACATGTGTCCAAACTCACAGAATGAACAACACCAAGAGTAAAGCCTAATGTAAACTACGGACTTTGGGTGATTATGATGTGTCAATGTGGGTTCATCAATTATAACAAGTGTACCTTCTGGGGTGAGATGTTGATGGTGGGGAGGCTGTGAGTGTACGGGGGCTGGGGGTACATGGAAAATCTGTGTACTTTCTGCTCAATTTTGCTGTGAACCTAAAAACTACTATAAAAAAATTAAGTCAAAAAAAATCCAGTGAATGAGAAAAATTAACAAAGAAAAAGAAATTATGTTCCACTTAAGACTGGTGAAGTCTATGGTACAAGAATGTTATCTGCATACCGACGGACACCTTTAGGTGTCCTGGAACAAGGCACTGGGCCTCAGGTGAGAGGAGAGGGCTAAATTGTAAATTTGGAGCTCTTTGTAAATATAGGAGAGGTGATAGTGCCAAAGATCCAAACATTTTCAAATGAATAGCTATTTACCTATTACACATTTCCAAGTAAAAATAAATAAAGAAAACCCAAGGGAAATTTTTTCCTTTTCATCTTACTGTATTTATTAAATAATCATATTTAATAAATAACAGAGGAAAATGTTAAAAAAGAGTATGTTGCTAGTACTCAAGTTTTTTTCTTAATTTAAAATAATAAATTGCATTGCCTAAAGACAAGTATGCTTTGGATGAACAATTTATAAAACAAAAACTCTTCTGATCCAGCTGTAAAAATATTTCCCCCAGAGATTTTCCCTAGTCTAATTGTTTGTTTCCACAGCTGTCTTAAAAAAAAAAAAAGAGGAGGATAAGATGTAGTTAGTGATGTTCTACAGTAGTTTACAAGTGTCTGGCTAGTGATCTACCCTATAAATACACGTGTACATATGCTAAACACTTGTCATTCAAATTTGGAAAACATCTTAAAGTACTGTTCATACCTAAGTTCTATCTCAAAGACATATTTGTAGATCTGAGTAGGATGCTTATTATTAATATTTTGTCCCGACACAGTAATATATATGAGGAATGCCTGGTATTTAAAACAAATTAATTCTTTCAATGCTGTAATATCTATGAAATTAAGTTGATGTAGACTTCTGAGTAAAGATGGTGGTTTGAACACAGGCCTCTCCTTTAATCTCTGCTAAAACCCCACTAAAACAATAGAAATGGGGATTTAAAAAGACACTCCTTAGGGATGAGAAGGATAGGAAAGGAAACAGGAGCAATGAGATTTTGGAAGCAAGAAGGAAGGCCTTGCACCTGCCCTCTCCATCTGGAGGCTTCTCTGGAGGGGCAGCTGTTGGGCCGGGGCAGCAGCACGTGAGGGCAAAGGAAGCACCTGGTACCAGGGGATGCAATGAAGGTTCGCATGTCGGGGCTGCAATGCCTCCTGGGCCCAGCGCCCCAAGTTCACTTGACTCTAGTTCTCAGACACAGGAACGCAGTGGGATCTGACCAGCCCAGAGAAAGACCGAGAAGATACTGATTCTTCTCCAAATACACAGTTTGGCCAGGTCAGCACAGTGACTGATGGGCCCTGTCTCCACCTCAGAGTTTCCATTCAGCCTTTTAAATCCTTCACTCTTAAATATGAATAGAAGACCAAGGATCACAGCAGGGAAAAACTATTTAAAAATTTTTTTTCTAGAAAATTTCCCAGCACTGAAGAACCTAAGTTTCTGGGTTGAAAGAGCCACGAAGTGGCCAGCAGTGTGGGCTGAATTTCTGGATGGAAGGTGGCCCCAATGAGGCAGAGCCATCTGTGGGAGACGTCTTTGAACTCACCCTCTTTCTTGACCTACTCTCTTATTTGGAAGAGCAAACCCTAAGGAATTTCTGGAAGAAAAAGAGCATGTAAGGGTCATTTCTTTCTTTTTTTCTTTTTGAGGAAGATTAGCTCTGAGCTAACATCCATGCCCACCTTCCTCTACTTTATATGTGGGACGCCTACCACAGCATGGCTTGCCAAGTGGTGCCATGTCTGCACCCAGGATCCAAACCAGCAAACCCTGGACTGCCAAAGCGGAACATGCAAATTTAACCCCTACGCCACTGGGCCGGCCCCACATAAGGGTCATTTGTTATTGTTGTTGAGAACTTGAATGTTTAAAAACCTCTTCAGGGGCCAGCTCTGTGGCCGAGTGGTTAAGTTCGCCTGCTCCACTTCGACGGCCTAGGGTTTCACTGGTTCGGATCCTGGGCATGGACCTAGCACCACTCATCAGGCCATGCTGAGGCATCCCACTTAGCAGAACCTGAAGGACCTACAACTAGAATATACAACTATGTACTAGGGGGCTTTGGGGAGAAGAAGAAAAAAAAAAGATTGGCAACAGATGTTAGGTCAGGTGCCAATCTTTAAAAAATAAATAAATAAATAAAAAATCTCTTCACTATACCCTTACTGTGATTGACTGCTTCTCTGGGTTGGAAATAATATTCCTTCAGAAAACTGAAGGTTCTTATAATTCTGTATCCAATATGGTGGTGAGGTAGAGTGAATCCCTAAGATGAATGCTGTGGACCAAGATGTGAAGGCGACCAGACCAGAATGAAGCAGGGCAGAAAGACGTAGAAGAGACTTCTTCCTCAGGAAAGTAAAACTAATGTAACAACTGATCTTCACATAAACATCTTGAGATGAGATTTAGACAAGCGGCAAAGAACTGAGAGTTAGTGATAACCATATAGAACGCGGACAAAAAAGTCAATCGTTAAGTCCAGGGAAGACGAAGATTATGCAGGAAATGTAACCAGAGACCATGATGTGACTCCGACTCCAACACAAAGAGCATTTGCACAGTCATTACAATGTAAGTGCTCAATAGTGACTTACCCCAAATTCCAATATGATTTTATTGGGAGGGAAGGTTATCAAAAGACAATGCCTAACCTTAAAAGTCAAGAAGTAGCCCTATGGGCAGAGTTTTGCACTAAAATAATCAGCTGAAAAGGCAAAAGTGTTTGTCTCAAGTGAAGCAAAAATAGGGGCAGGAGGAGAAAAGGGCAGGCGGCAAGAGGACAGAGGACAGCCAGTGTTCCTAACAGACCTCAGAGAAACACTGAATCTTTAAAACCACGTGTGTACAAACATAATAAAAACAAATTTTAACTGGTACTAAAAAAGTTGAAAAAAAGTAATATTTTGGATGTTAAAACTGATCTTACCCAATGCAGAGTGTCTATGCATGATTCTATCTTTTTGCTAGAGAGATGAATTATTATTTTAATATAAACTCTTAATGATATTGAATAATTCCTGACGCTGTTAAATCACCTCTTCCCTGGTCTCCAGGCCACAGAATACACTTAGCATAGAGATGTCATGCATGACAATATCTGACTGAGCTGAATCCAAGACAAGTACTTTCATACAAGACTTTAAGGCAATAGCAAAAATCGGCAGAAAAGGCTAACAGGCAGGAAATGACATTTGTAAGCAAAACGTCTCTAACCAAAACTCAAACCCTTACAAATCAAATAGGTCACTGGTGCCTGGCTCTCAAAGGTGCCTGTGAACACTTGGAGCTCAATACATATTTGTTTAAAGAATAAATGAATACCATCAAATTTCTAAATTTGGATAAAGTCCACATGATGCTTACTGACATTATGCGGTGGGTCATTTCCTATTGTAGGTTCAACTGAATGGCAAACATCTTATTAGACTTAATTATGTTATCAGTGGTCGCAGTATTTGGGAATATGCTTCACTGTCTGCCTCCATGAAATTTCAGTTGGAGTCAAAGCAGAACATAACCGCATGATATTGACTTTGTAATCAGGAGTTATCAGAGCTATTAAAAAGCTCTTCAGAGTTTAAAGAGCTGATTTCAAAGACAAGACTAATAAATTGCTGATGGATTTAATTCTTTCATGTATCCTTTATAATTATAATGAAGGATTCTTTCCTTAATTCATGAATTTTTTTAAGGTCTTCATTTTAATTAGATAAAACTGTTAAACAATAAATCATACAAGCTTTGTCTATAACAGCCTCAGTTTTATAAGACTATATTTTAGAATTTCTGGAAAGAAACTGAGCTCTGATAATATGATCTGATTTGGGTCAGCAAGCCACCAAAAGGCAAATTAGGGACATATTTTCCAAATACTATTTTCCAGCAGAATTTTATCAGGTGACATGGCCATAAAGTTGGCACTTTCGAGCTTTCAACAACTGGGGAGAAACTGCTGTTTGATGAAAGAAGAGAAGAATTTCCAAGGTTCTTCCTCTGCAGTCGCAGAGAAACAGTAATAGCCTGATGAATCTTTACAGGATGACCCTATTGCTTTGACAAAAAATTTTAAAGGCACAGAGCAATCGTGATTTTCCCCATTTACTATTAAGACCACTTCACAGGTTTTCAGCTCTCATGGTCATTTTCACCATCCTGCACCACTGTGCACAGTGAGGATTGCCTGTGTTATAAGTCTCTGGCTGCCCCAACCTCAACAAAAGCCTGTGAAACAAAGGGTGGCTGGTGAGGAAAGGAGACTTTTCCCAAATGTTTATAATCATCAGGGTTTTGTAAAAAGGCTCCTGAACTGTGTACACCATGCTGCACAAGGTATCAGAATTAAATATTAACTCGTGTCCTACCCACTATAACATTAAATGTAATGATAAGGACTCATAAGTATAAAACATAGATAGGAACACATATATCTGCAGCCTAAATTAGTTCCACTCTCTTCCTACTGAAGCTTTAGGGCACATAAATCCAAAGATCACGTCCTTTTAGCTTGTAAAATGACATTATGAAGTTGAAAAGTTACCTCCCTACTCATCCTCAGGCTGGGCTAACAAGAAGATCAATGTGAACATATTCTGAGGAGAAAGTCGACACTGCAGGAAGCACTTTTTAAACACTTTAAGATATACTTACACATTTAACACACTGATGTAAACTAGGAAGGTGCATAGCCATAGCACACAGATGTAAATTAATATAATAAGTTTAAGTAATTGTTTCATCATTGGTTTATTATTCATGTAATGAAAATGGAAACATAAAAGCCATCCATCTATTTACTAAGGAAGGCTTCCAAAAATTAAGATTTAAATAATATATTAAAAGAATGTAATAGACCAGGATGAGAGGCTGCAGAAAGGATCAGGAAGCAGAGGATAACAGAAGGCACAGTGAGTGCGAATCCAGTTAGAATTCACAGCACCAAGAACGCCCCTCTCTGGTCCTGTCCTTGCATGTTATAGAAGAAAAAACTATGGCCCAGTGAAGGTGAGGGTCACCACAAAGACAGGACTAGTGAGCAAGGGGCTCAGAAATAAGAACCTTTAGTTGCAGTCCCTTGGCACTGCTGGAGAGAGTGGAACAAAAAAAACACACGACGAGCTCCCTCACTAAAAAAAAAGTTCACTCACCTGGTTAAAAACCAGAGAGAGAAAAGAGAAACAATAAACAAGCAAACAAAACCCTCCTGAGAGCTCAACAGAGCTGGCCTAAAGTCACAAGGTTAGGCCATTTACTCAGAGTCAGGTCCGGCAGGCTCTCAGGAGAGATTACAATTTACAATTTACAACTCCCCTTGTGAATGACCAAGCTTGCTTATCTGCCTGCCTGATCTAAGCAGATCAGACAACAGCACTGGGCAGGAATGAGGAAGTCTTTACATGGCTGGGAAAATTAGGAAACTCTTCTCCTGTCTTGACAATATCAGCTAAATGAAGCCCTAACCCTTATTTATTTTATGAATCCTTTTTGTCGATCTTCACATTAGTAAAGGAAGGTGGGCAGCAGTTAGATGTGAGTGTGTACACTCCCCATACTGCCACATCTAAATAAAAATTGGTTACTTCTGGAATTATAAACAAACCTAGTTAGTATAAAAAAAACCAATAAACAGTCATTTAACAATAAGAGGATTAAGTAAATTATAATAATCCATAAAATAGAAAACACAGCTCTCAAAAATATTTACAAAGAATTTTCAATAAAATGGGAAACTACTTACTTTATAGAACCAGGATATTTTATACATTATCTTGCTGTTATAGTTTATAATTTTAAGGGAAATAAGACAGGGAGGAAATTCACTAAAATATTAACGATGCCTTTCTCTGGGGAGAATTATATAGGTGACTTTCTTCTTTAAATTCCTTCCTATTTTACAAACTTCCCACACTGAGCATATACTATCTTATAAGCAGAATAAAAAAACAAAATTTGTTTTAAAGAAAAATAAAAACACAAATTATGATGACGAAAATGTAGAAACAATTTATCAGTATTTTCTCTGCCTTACAAAATCTTACCTTAACTTTCTTCTTCCATGTAGATTTTTGCTTCTCCTCCTCTTCCTCAATTAATTTAAGCGCCAGCTCTTTGTTAACTTTTGGCAATTTCTGGTACAGGAAAAAAAAGAAAAAGCTGTACTAAAATACCTACATTTTAGCTTTAAAGGTTGGTAGTTCTATAAGGAGTATAACTTCACAAACAGAAGATATCCAATTCTTATTTTTAAAATTTCATTATCCCCAGAGTAGGAAAGAATGTGGACACAGATGATGTTATCAGGTGGGCCACGGAGTACAAAAACAGCAACCTCATCTGACTCTTCCCAGTGCACTGAGAAGCGAGCTGGGAGACGCGCTATTCGGCTGAGGTCAGCCTCAGAGAGTCTAGGCCCCTAAATAAGGGGAGGCCACCAGGCCCAGTATTGCAGCCTCTGGCTGGAGTTGCAGGAACTCCTACAATGCGACTAATAATGCTAACCGCACTATTTCCTGCTTCTGAAATGGTAAATTTCTACGGGGAATTCTAGATGTGAATCTGACAACTCTCAGGATAAAGCTATAGGCCACTTATTGTCCTTTTCCACTTAGTCCTTTATGTCTCACAGTAAGTAAAGTATAACTGACAAATAATGCAAAAATCTGGGATAAAAGGATGCCATATCCTAGTGTCCCTTGCCAATGCACAGGCACATTCATCACTCTTAAAAACTTAAGGAATAATCTGGAAAAAGGAAAAAACAGTCATTAGTCTTTTGTACTGAAAAAGTGTGTGTACATATGTGTGTACATGTGTATACACAGATATATTTATTTATTTAAATTTTTAAAACTAATGTTCGGTTAGAAATTATTGCATCGTTTTTGGTTAACTTTAATCAAGAGGGGTTGCTAGAGACTAAAAGGGGGCAGGGTGGGGGTGGGGGGACTTGCTCTTCCCTGTCTGTTTGCTGTTGGGTTGGCATCACACATCAGCAATTCTTTGCCCTGGCAACAACAGGTGGTTCCAGTTGAGTGGGGGGTTCCAGTTCGTGGTTTTCCAACACTCCTAGGGGGTCTGGACCCAGCTCCTCAGGGCCTGCCTCTTCCCTGTTGCCCAGCCCTGGAGTGGTAGCTGCTTCCTGCAGCCACTGCTTCTCTTATCAATACCTTACTGTTTGCCTTTTCAGTTCTCTAATACCCGGTTAACAATTCTTTATGTTAAATTCTCTCTATTAATATAACTAGTGTGGTCTGATTCCTGTCTGGACCCTGACATAGTCTAATGACCATTTCCTATGACCCAAGCAGCTATCCTAAGATCCTGCCAATGTCAGTAAGCATGGGGATTAGCAAAGCCCCAATACTGCAGACATGGCAAACCCATTTGAAAACGCCATCAGAGTTTCTTAGCCGGGCTGACGATACCAGTCCGCTTGGCATTACTTCCCACAATACCATTACCACAGAGTCCAAAATGATAACAGTGCAAAGAGTACTCACCCTCATGACAAACAAAATATACCAAAAATATTAGTAAAAGACGTATACATAACTAAGGACGGAAAAAAAACGAAATGGATAGCAGATTTCTTTGGAATAATACACAAAATGAAGATTAAGTACTTTTCTCTAGTAAACTTAATGGTAAGTATGTACAATATTTACCTTTAATTGGACTCTCTGTGCACGTGTTTCTTCTATCTTCTGTCGGATCTTATCTTTTCTATATTCTTCATAAGCAAATGGATTTACCATCAACTTCACCTTTTCAAAGTAGAAAAAAAGAATCATAGTTAACAGCATGTTTCATATAGACTATGACAAACTATGCCAAAGAATAGGCAGATCTCTTACAAACTATAACTACGTTTTATGAAAATCCAAGTAAGTAGAGAAGAAATGGCTCATTAATCACCTAAAATAAGTGTAGTTTTGTATTTACCTTGTGATAGAGTCTTATATCCATGAAAAATCCATGCATGTATGCCCGGAGAAAAGGTGATCCAATGAGATGTGTGAGCCCTGGGGAAAGTTAATCAGAAGAAGGCAGGTCCTTATGAAATCCTGATTAAAACTGAAGTTTTTCTCAGATTATTATTATTAATATTTTTTAAAGATTTTTATTTTTTTCCTTTTTCTCCCCAAAGCCCCCCGGTACATAGTTGTATATTCTTCGTTGTGGGTCCTTCTAGTTGTGGCATGTGGGACACTGCCTCAGCGTGGTTTGATGAGCAGTGTCATGTCCGTGCCCAGGATTCGAACCAACGAAACACTGGGCCACCTGCAGCGGAGCACAAGAACCTAACCACTCGGCCACGGGGCCAGCCCCTCTTAGATTATTATTTAATAAGATTTCACGTCTGAGTAAAATGTAAGGGTCAGAATTACTAATCTTCAATAACTATGAAAAAAACGTTAATCCACTTTAAGCAATATTATCCTTACTTATTTTAAACCTAATACTAAGTGTAAAAATGACGAAAAAGTCTTTATGAACTCAGACAGACTGCTACAGAAGGGTTCCTTATACTGGCAGTTTTCAGATTTTTGGACCATGAATGAGTTCAACTTAAAAAATAATATTGGGATCAAAAGTCAGTCGCCAACTTTGGTACTGCCAAGTAGAACAGTGGTGGTGACAGGTGAGGAACACTGTTCTATCTCATGATTTCCCAAAACAATGAACACTGTCACAACGTGAATGTAGAAAGGGTATGTTCTTTCCCAAGAAAGAAGAGCTGACAAATTTCTATTAACATATATAAACATACATCAGCACATTAACACATCCATGCTTCACCATGGATCAATGAAAAGTTCACTGACCATCAGTGTTTGAGAACCATTCCCTGAACAATATCTTTCATAGGCTTTCCTGGTTTTAGTAGATTATATTTAGAATTAGTGGTGCTGGTGGTCACATAAGGACACTCTGCCTATGTTATAGAAATTATTTATTAATTGCAAATATTTACACAGAGAAATGTTATGAGGATATTTATCTTCAAAATAAGACAACATGCGATATACCCACATGAAGAGCAGCTTTAGCTGATATAATACTAAATAATTGTGTTTCTAAGGAAAACTTTACCCTGATTTCCAAATTTTAGAAATAAACATCCATCCAGACCTGGAAATTAAGTATTACGCAAAATTGTGCAGGTGTACAAAATAGTATACGTTACAGAACATCAAAAGGCAAAATTAAATTCAGGATAATCTTGTAAAATAATTATACAACTTGGTCAGAAAAATACTTTTCTAGAATCTATTAGATTAATAAAACTACAGGGGCCGGCCTGGTGGCATAGCAGATAAGTTCCGTGCACTCTGCTTCGGTGGCCCAGAGTTCAAGGGTTCAGATCCTAGGCATGGACCCAGCATAGTTCATCAAGCCATGCTGTGGCAGCATCCCAGACAAAATAGAGGAAGATTGTCACAGATCTTAGCTCAGTGACAATCTTCCTCACTCAGCAACAATCTTCCTCAAGCAAAAAGAGGAAGACTGGCAATAGACGTCTGCACGGGGCCAACCTTCCTCACACAAAAAAAAATCTACAAAATATCAGTGACTTTTTTCTCCAATTGAAGAATGTAGCGAGTATGACACAAGCATATTGTAAAAATTATGTTGGAAATATTTAAGAAGGCACTTCAGTAGGACGATCCTATTTCACCCTACTTCATTCATAAGTCATTTTTTAAAAGGCTGAAGACAACTCTCTTCTTTTTTAAACACATTAAAATTTAAAGAATTATTGTGGTGCTAACTTCAGACAATAAATGCTGTCTGAACTAACTGTGGTATGAAACATAGCTTAAAATACAGTTTAGGAACCTCTCAATCTATTTATTACATGATTCTATTTTCTGTTGTATATCTATTTGTTCCAAGGACAACTGAGTGGCCTAGACTTGTGGAGAATGAGTCCTCAAAGTTTTTTCTACTCTCAATAATTTGTTATATAGCCTTTTCCCAACAATAGAACAAGATTAGCAAACTCTACTCTCTCTATCCTACAACTAGTGCTAGGCACCTGAGATAAACAGGCTCTTCCGAGGGGTTAGCGCGGCTCTTAACCTCAGCCACAGATAGAACTCCAGCTTAAATCCCAACCCTCACACTTACTCCCACTGAAGCCTTTGGCAAGTGACTTTAATCCTTCTATGCCTCAGTTTCCTTATCTATAAATACATCATAACAGTATCCACTCCGTAGAGTTGTGAGGATTAAACGAGTTGTATGTAAAACACTCGGAACATTGCCTGGAACATGGTAAGCCCCATGCAGGTGTCAGCAATTATTAAGAGGCATTTCTAGGTTTGCGAACTTTAAGCGTAAAGTAACTATGAAGGTTCTACATATTTGAGGATTCAATCTATGGTTTCCACGTTTTGAATGGACTCTTTTATAAGCAAACCTAAAAGAGAGCCGGAAATCATTTACTTGCAGGCTCTGAGATATTTTCAAAATCTTGTTACACTAAAATAGTATTTGAAAAAAGATTTACTGGTTTCTTGACAGATATTTTTTCTATTCATAGCTAGTGTGCTAAGAAAAAATTATTCTGCATTTAAGACAGGAAAAAAAGCTTCAGTAGGTTGAATTTATCTGAACCTTTCTCTAAGCAGAGATTACAAACTTGACAATATATAGTACGTATAATATGTTTAGTATATGACTTGGCAGAAACAGAAGATTGGAAAATCAGATGAATACGACTCCATCACTTCTAATGTTTGAAACTCAAAAAAAAAAGTAGAAATAAAATAATTTTATAAACATTTTATCATAATTTTTTTACCTAAATTTTCAAGGTCTTTCTTGGTGACAAATTTGTAATCATCATAAACTGTGCTTTCTGGATTCTCTTCTAATTCTTCTGTCAAGTTGTCTAAGAAGGAACACCACCTGGGAGCAGGACCCAAAACCTGCCAGGTTGATGAAAAGGTTAGCAAACATGCATTCTCACCATGCCAACTAAGAGTTAGTCCACAATCTCATTTTCTTAAATACAATTTTTAAATCTTTGTTTCTATTAGAAGTCTTGAAAAACAACTGCAATATGCATAATCAACAAGTAGATAATGGAAGAGAATAAACAAAGTAGGAAGAACGTAGGCTCATGAGGGAAAAATCTCTTAGTCTGGGATACAAAGATATTCATGAATACTCTTAGATTAGAACTACCAAAACACAAATAAATAATTCAGGCACTTATAATATCCATCCATCCATTTATTTATCACCTCTTTCATTCAAAACAGTAGTAGAATCTACAAAAGCATACTTGGTATGAAAGATTTTTTAAGTTTGCCACTGATGACAAACAGATGTCTAAAATAAGAACTACCTTCTTTCAAGGGTTTTCAACTAATTATTTGATACTTATATTTGATCTTGTATGGTCCGCTTCATTTAATTCATTAACTCATTAAAATTTAAAATTCTGTAATAGAATTCTTCAGACTTAACCTAAAATGGGTCACTAGGACCCACAAGTTAGTCCCAATGAAAGGTTGAGGAACAAAAGACTGAAGAGAATTTATAACCAATTAATAAAATATCAATACTTCACTTTGTAATCCAACTACTTCCATAAAATACTGTGGCTGCTTTTTACTTCTTGTTGTTGATACAAATCTGTCCCAGCTCGATGCCTCACCCACTGAGGTCAAAGTTTATCCCAGAGGAAATAAGGCTCGCTCGAGGGGTGGGGGGGGGAAGCTACGCCATTGAAATCTTCTCTCAACGTGGCGGCTTTCCGAAGAGAGCCCTGGGCTCTGACAAAACGGAACTTCCAATGACTACGTGCCTGCGTACTCCGACAGCAATCAATTATAAATAGGAAAAAAACAAAAATCATAATGGAAATTAAATCTAGCTTAACTTTTTGGAGAAAGGAAGGTAGGAGGAAGAGAGCTGTAACAAAGAAAAATGACACCTAATATCCTATACAATCAAAAAAAAAAAAAAAAAGAAGTAAATGTTAGAGACAACCATATCAATTTAGTTATATTACTTTGCCTGATTAGAAAGGGTGACTCTCCTCACCCACACAAAGGCTATGGGGCTCATGAACGTGAAAAACAACTCTTTTTTTTTTTTATGGCAGTAACACTGGTTTATAACATTATATAAATTTCAGGTGTATATCATTATATTTCGATTCCTGTGCAGATTATATCATGTTCACCACCCAAAGACTAAAAAACAACTCTTAATGAGCATAAAAGGAGTCCTATCAAGAAGTTTCATGTTAGCATAATCTATACAACTTTTAAAAATAGATGTAAAGGTTTTGATACACTAAGTGGTTTGACTATAACCATTAAAGACAAATCCTTAAGAAATATAAGGTATTCTTAAAAAACTCAATGTAAAAAACTTTTTAAAGAAACTGCTATGATTTTAAGCAATTTTAGGACAGTAGCTTGAAGTCAACAAATATACTAAACATTATTCCATACAAAGCACTGTGTAAAACACAGTCATTGACTGTGATGGCCCTGATGCAATTTAAAATCCAGCTGGAACAGAAAGGCATGTGCACCCACACACACACTCACGTCATGTAAAGCAATGAACTGAGACTGCACTGAGTCCATGGGGAAGACTGATCAGGGCGGGAGAAAACAGGGCAGGTTGGGACATTGAAAAAGTCTATGTGAAAGGACTCCAGGTTGGAATGAACACACATGAGCAAGCTAGAGAAAATCACAGGGGACCTTCTGAGAGTGAGCATTTAGGCACTCGCAACTACAGGCGTATCTGCTTCCCATCAGTTATCAATCTACAAATGCAAAGCTCTACCATACACTGCTGTACAACCTAAGACAGCAATCTTCTCTCCTTGTAGACAGCAAGAAAGTACACTATTAGCACTTTTCTAAAATATAAGATCCAAGATACTGTCCTCTTGGGGGGGTAAGAACCTCCTCTGTTCTAAAGTTGAATTTCTGTTACCTAGAACATGGCCTGTCAAGTAGTATTTGTTCAATAAATATTTAGTAAATAAATCTATTCATATAGAACATATGAATGCATTCATAAATTTCATGTGCACAAGGTACTAAGACTTACAGGGTCCTGTTTGGCAAAAGTATTTCTAAAACTGTCTAATTTCCTTATTCAGATAAAAACACTCAAATACCTCACCATAAAACTACTGGATATAAGAACACGTTTTTGGTGAAAGTCAGGTCTGTTTTGCCTCCCATGCAAGGGGGGGCATTGGTTACCAAAGGACCTCAGAATAACGCAGTTTCACCTTTAAACCTTAAATCAGTTAGCAACATGGGCTTCAAAGACAATGAAAAGATTATATTGTGTTTACTGACTTTTTTTGGGGGGGGGGGTGGAGGGTAGGAATATAAAAATATCAGAACAGATCTGAATTTACTTTCACATCTTTTTTAATAATGTTCTACAACATTCTTTTTCATTAGTCATCTAGATTCTAATGGAACTGTTTTAAACTGCCTCTCAGGGGACACATCAGTTATGGTAAATAACCTCTACAATCAAATTCATGGCCGTTAAATTTTACAGGAGGAAATAGTTCCATCAAAAACAAAATTAAAATCTAGCAGGTTGATTTTATTAATCACGTTTCCCTAGTTCCTTTTCAGAGAAATAAAAAATCAGAACAACCATAACAAAGTTGAAATTACTGACCTAACTGGTGGCATTAAACTGAAGGTTTTATCTACATTATCGCTCTCCTCAAAGGTCTACCATTAAGTTGCAAAAACAGTAGTTGGCTTAACCAGTAAGGAGGGCTCAACTGCGTGCACAGCTCTCTGAAGTACCTATAATGACCACAGTATTAACTGTGTAAAAATTCCTTGCTGTTTTCATTTATAAAATGTTATATCTGCAACTAATCCTTAAAAATATATTAATTTACTTCCTAAATTTCAGGCTTTACAACTTAAAGAAAACATCCTTTTGAATCACCAGTGTACTGTTATTACCACATCCAAAGTTTCTAGGTTTCTACATTGTCATTATACTGCTATATTCTATATTTCAGTCAAAACTGAGTACTGTTTGTTTTTCTACATTTTTATACACCTTAAGAGTTTTGTATGTTTCAGAAAATTGGTGAAGACTGTTTTATTTCAAACTTCTATTATCTGTTAATGACCTTTCACTTTTCATTTAGAAGAATTTCCTGAAGTCACAGGTCAGTAAGAGTAGAGAACTGGAAACTGGTTCATCAAACTGCTATAAAGGGCTACCACAGATCCCTCAGCAACTTCATTGACAATCCTATCCACCATCTAAACGGAAATACCTGGTCCTCCAAAACAGGAAAGAATCTTCATCAACATAAAGGGAAGGCCTCGACTCAAATGCAGCCAAGTATCTGCTCGCTCTAACCCATCTGGGCAGAAGAAGCAATTTTAAAGTACATGAAAATACATGCCACGTGCTCAAGATCATCTGCCTCTATCATTACAATCTGCCTTTAAGATGTTAATATATAATGACTAATTTTAAAACTCAAAATTCTCATATATTCTGGTAATAGACAAAAATGACTAAGTGGGGAGGAAAGAGGATGAATATTAAAATTCTTAGGGAGTTGACAGAGAAGGATGCTCCTTCCCCCACCTCACTTTTGAAAAACCACTGTGCAACACCCTAAAGCCGTGTTTAGGCAGAAATAAGGATTGAGGATTACTGAATGGATGGTTTTAACAGAGCAAGGGTGACTAAAATAACAACAATAAAGTATTATTAATATTATTAGAGACAAAGAACCAAACTGTACTAATTCAGATAAATGCCACCATTTTTTCCATTACTTATAATGTTACTCAGTATGACAAAATAATTTCATTATTTTCCTACTATTAATATGAAAGAAAATAATTGATAACATAGAACAGCAATTAAATTTGAAATTATCTTAAGTTTTTAACTGACAATTCAAAAAAACAATTTAAAAAACTTTAGCAAAACTAAGAAAATTCTTTTTTTTTTTTTTTTGAGGAAGATTAGCTCTGAGCTAACATCTGCTGCCAATCCTCCTCTTTTTGCTGAGGAAGACTGGCCCTGAGCTAACAGCCGTGCCCATCTTCCTTTTCTTTATATGCTGGACACCTACCACAGGATGGCTTGCCAAGCAGTGCCATGTTCGCACCTGGGATCCAAACCGGTGAACCCCAGGCTGCTGAAGGGGAAAGTGCACACTTAGCCGTTGCACGACCAGGCCAGCCCCAAGAAAATTCTTAATTACTCCATTTGCTAGAACTGTATCAACGGACAATAAATAACTTTGAACCAAAATGGGCTTATGTACAGGAAACTTTAACTGATATATAATTACATTAGAACACCCTAGAAGTATGTAATACAGTCATGAGCCACATAACGACATGTCAATCAACAACAGGCAGCATATATGATAGTGGTCCCATAAGACTAGTACTATAGCCTAGGTGTGTGGTACGCTTTACCATCTAGCTTTGTGTAAGGACTGAAGGAGAGGAAGAAATTTTCTTCTACCCCTCTAGGTTCCTCTGGCTAAGCTAAGAATTAAATTGACATGAGACAGATTAATAGCAGAAAAACAAAAAACAGTTTAATAACACGTATACATGGGAGAAACCCAGGAAAATGGAGTAACTCGCCAAAATGGAGAACGCTGTCACCTTAAACACCATCCTCAGCTAAACACAAAAGATGCTGGGAGTGGGAAGAGTCAGGGAGCTCAAAGGGAAGGAAGGCAATTCACAGGTAGGTAGGTAAAAACAAGCAAACATTTGGAAAACAAGTGTTTGGCCAGAGAAACAGAAGAACACAGAGGGAAGCCCAGCAAACAGGGTTTGTTTGTTGGGCTCCTCCCCGTCTATTGCCTAGTTCATGTTACGCTAAGGTGATGGCTCACTTCTTGAGACAGATTTTTTTTATCTGAATTCTT